GGAGATGCAAACGAAAAATTCGAGACTCCTCAACACAGACACACATGAAGCCCAAGGCCCATTGTCAAATGTTGCGGGGACTGGCATTCTCTGTAAGTTGCTGCCAAGTGAGGCAACAAATGCAACTTCACTGGTTACCCAGACTCCGGGCCAGGGTTAGCTCAAGCTCTGCGTTGAAGACAACACAGTTTTGGAAGGAAAGATGAGCTGTTGAGTCTGCTTGTCTTGTCTATATCCGCTAAAGTAGCAGTGGGACAATGCGTACCCGGTACGGATGATACGAGCATTGTTTGCATTCATGGAAGGTTGTCCGGAGCGCACGTCGGATGTTGAAGGTCCCGAGGCCTCTCTCCTCACCCTCTCAACGACGACCGACAACGCAGAAACGTCGACTGTCTGCGAAATGTGTGCTCAGCCGGATACTTTGTGTCAACATAATTTTGCTACTCTGTCCTGCCGACGGACGTGTGTGCAAAATGAGTCCGGTCTTGAGCGTCAAGCTGCTGAGGCCTTGATGCAGGTAGTGTTGATTTCACCATTTGTGCCGACATGTTCAAGCTGGCGAACAGGGTAGGCCGACAACTACAAGCGAAGTGGGTGTGGCGCCACAACCGAAGAAAGGGTGACAAGAACGGTCGTATCCTTCCAAGTGAGGCAACTCATTCGTTCGGGCAATCATTTCAATTAACCCTTCATCCAACCACCCACTCAGTAGCTATTTCATACACACATGCACACATTCCATTTGCCTAAACGACTCAGCTCGTCTAACTATGAAGCTCTGTTTTTCCCCTTCAATCTGCGGCTAGAGCTATTCAACCGGGTTCATTTCATTTTTAGTACACTCCAATTAATTGTATTCATTGGGCCATCATACCCCGTTAGTCGAGGTGTGCCTAGTCAGCTACCCTCTTCACTGGATAAACGTATGGACTTCCATGAGTTATGCTGACCCGATGTGATAATCAACTTTATTGTGCCACCTTAATTTGCGGGTATTCCCCCCATTTGTACGATCGTGTTTCTTCTGTCTTCAACATAGGCCACCCTCATGTTTTCCGCCTGGTAGAGAACAAACAGTACACGCCGAAGTGGGCCGACCAACGGCCCGAGGGAGTTGAGAGCAGGCCTAGAGATGAGCCGGGGCACACCGCCTCAAAGAGGTTGTTTGACCGAAAAAGCAATGCAAGAGTGACAGCATGCTTGAGTGAAATAATCTGCCGGTGTTTCGGCATTGAAATGAGTTTATCTTCTGAAGTGTGTATGTGTATGGCTCGAGTTAATGCAACTTGGAAAGGTGGGCAAGGATGGGAAAAAAACCCGTCTTTCTCTGCTTGAAACGAAGCATACAATTTATTAAAGTGTCGAGAGGGGAAGTAGGTAAAGGAGAGAAATAGGAGTCTGGAAAACTGCCACTTGGAGCATCACGAATGGGTGTGCAGAGATACAAAGAATGGCAATACTAGTATGTATCGGATTAAGGCAAAATAAATAGAAATTGAATTTTAACAATAGTTAAACCACTCGTCCTAACCTTCCGAGATGTGAGTTAGAGTTCTATAAAATGAAATTTCATATCAAATATTTATTTGTCAGTTGTGTCGTTTGGTACTGCATTTCTTACAAAAAGGTAATAACAAGTCGAGTTTTCTTCGCTAATCCGGTTTCTTAGGCCGCTCCCGCCCGACGATGCGTCGTCTGCCAGTTCTAGCCTTGCGTCCTTTCAGCACCGGACCGCCAATCAGGCAGAATATACAGGCTTGGTAGCGTGGCCAACTTGAGGAAGATAATGTAGAACCGAGTCAACAGAGACTGTTGGGGACATAGAAGAACAAAAAGCCACATTAGGCAACTATAATTTTTACTTTGTATCAAAAGGTGAGTAGAATGGGTCCGAGAATAGGCCTCTACGGGACCCGAGAGGAGACGCTGTTGTGGCTGCATCTACCCCCAACTCTGATGAATCTGTGCTGAGCTGTCGTCTGTCCTAGAGTAGCATAGAAACTAATATTTAAAAGAACTTTGCAAAAGGCCATAGGTCAAGACTGGTAGCAACTGAAAGTCTACCTACTCATAAGAATCTAATTTTCTAGCATGTTGTGATACCCTTTTATTTGGTTGCCAGACAACCATATGAATCTAAGGCCATCTGTTTGTCACACCAGAAGAAGCGGAATCTCATTCTTCACTCATCGGAATCGGAAGATGGTGCACCGACGACAAAAACGCCCAAAATGGCAATAACATTCACAAAAGAATCTCCCTCCGAGTTCCGATGCGGCCAAACTACACATGTCCCCCAGTCATCTTTCTATTTAAACTGAATGGTAGAGCGATATAATAACTCGTTCAGTCGACAAAGAGTCAACATCTTTTGGCTTCTCACTGTTTTGTGATTTTTATTCAACTTGACGAAAGTGGACGCTTGCTTCGGCCTCAATTTGACGCTTCTGTTCATATCGTATACTTCATTTTGGATTATGGCAAGTAATAACCAACCACTCCTTTGTCACCTCAGTATCAACTTACTATAAGAGTCTGTAGGCCTATTTAAGGCTTTGGCGTTATCAAAGCCCCGTCACATCACAATTTCTTGCTCGATTCTACATCTCACACGATCTCCTTTTGCCGTAAATGACAAACAAAAGTCGAGGATCTATAGATTGAGGTTGGTGGAGCAAATGTTTACATCAGTTTCCGTCATTTATTTTGATATTCTGCTCCTGTATATGGTGAAAGCTATCATCGAGCTCACAAGAGGTTTCATTCGTACTTCCTTGCTAATTTTCAGTCTCACAAAAGCCTTATCCTTCACATATGCTGCCAAAAATTCTCTTATGAAGGATCACTAACATTCTCATGATCGAAGAATTACAATATTCTTAAGCTTACTTCCATTTCGGGTGAAAGTGTTGGGTGAAGAGATTCGAAGTTCGGTTCCACCAGAAGACGACGGCCGATTCCTCTTGACCAGCTGTCGATTGGCTTTACTGGAAGATTCATCTGTTTCTAAGGTAATCTCCTTCGATTCAGGTGAAAAGGTGCTAAGCTTTCGTTAGTCATATGACGAACATCATCAGAGCAAGGTAATATCGTCACAACTAAATTCAAGCTAACGAGTCAAGAAAACTCACAAAGTAATTAGGACATCAAAAATGAACGTTTGACTTGGGCCATCAAGGTTTGCTAACTCCTAACTCCCCTTTTCTACATGCATGTTATAACCATCACTCCGATCGCACTGCGGGTTACGTGCATAAGCGAACACAAACAGGCAAATACACATACAGAGACAGGCACACTCACATGCATCGTAGTTGACATATGACCTTAACTAACCAAATCACTTTATACTTGATCAAAGAGG